AAGAAGCCTTCTGGTGCCTCACTTGAGTTTTTGGTGAATCTTAATCACTTGCGTTGGCTAGGTCATGTCCTCTGTCTGTCCACTGATCGATTCTTTTGGCGTGCATTATACGCCGTGGCTGCACCAAGTCGGGCGAAATTGCGAGGTGGCCACTCCATGACTTGGCATAAAGGCTTGAAGAAATTGACTGAGAGACTTAGCCAGGTTAGTGCGTGCCGTCTTCTTGAATGGGAACCTCGGGGTGGTCCACACCAGTGGTTGGAGACCGGATCAGACATGGCTCAGTCAGTGGCGTTCCTGCATTTGGTTTCTTACATCTGGTTGTTAATTTTTGTTCCATCCTGCTTGGTTCAACGCATTTCCTTGTTTCGATTTTCTCTACATTCTGCTTACATTCAACCCCACTATCTTGCCCTTATTTATTGCTATTCTTGCCATGTGAGTCGTGACAACTGCATCCACCGCACTTCGGTGCTCGGATCATGGTTGTTCTGCTGAACTGAGCTGGACTGTCGCTGTAAGTTCCGCTGGAGCGGAGTGACGAGTCTGAGGTTACTGTGCTGGCCTCAACGACGCAGGCTTAGAGGATGCTTGTTGCACAGCAGAGTCATAGTCACACGGAAATGCGGACTTGAATCGGTCGATATTGATCGTCTTGGTTTATTATTGTAGTCTGTGCTTAAGGCGATGTTACTTCGGCGTACGACAAGGTACAGACCGGAATAGGGATGTTGAAGCAGCCGGTGCGAAGGGACACGTGGGTACAAGTGGCAAGACGTTCGTTTACGTTGGTGTGCGCGCTCTGTACTCCGGGTTGCACAGGCTGAGATTGTCACAATGGTGGGATGGGCGAGTTGCGTAATCACTATAGTCGAACGTCTTTGATGCTTTTGATAAGACGAGTTCATTAGGTTAGCGCTGTGTGTAAACCAACACTAGCACAGATGGAATGTGCATTTGCGCTTCAGTTGTGTTCCTTATGCCTAAGAGAACTAGCGGAATGCTTCGTGCAAGGATGTGCAAACTGCGCGCAGAGTGATCCTTTGAGTTGTCCACAGATTTTTCTACTATACCCTTAGCTGCAGGGTGGTATGCGGTGGTTCGGTTATGCAGAGCTGTAGGATTCATCAGAGTGGGATCTCCGGTAGATGATGACTACGGCAGGGTAACCAGATTTGGTTACCAGCTCATACGACCGCCTCTGATGTGTATCGGGATCGCTTCTGGCCAACGTGTAAACCTTCCGCGTGTTGCGCATGCCAGCACACCGACTCCTCCATTGTGTGTTATTTACGCGTCGCGGGTGTGGATGGAAGAAGGGGAGGGGATGCCAGGCGGTGACTTGGTCAAGAGGAATGAAGGCCCTCACTTCGAACGGCGTCGGTTAGTGTATCCCGACTGCCTGGCTGGGGTCCGAAGGACGATAAACACGTCTGGTTGGATTCACTTGTTGACATGACGAACAGCCGACTTCAGTGGCCTTTTTGTTGTCTATCCCTGTCCCCCTTATCTTCCCACTATAAACACGACCTCTGTTTTGGGGTGCAATATCTTACTGAGCGGTATGTTCCTTTTTATATTCTATAACCTTTAGTATCTCGCTTTTTCAAATATCGTTTTGTATTGCGGCACAATAGTTGTAGTGTTTTTCACCTTTAGCTAATGTGCTGTGATGCTTATAGTGATGATGCTAAACGTGTAAACCTGTCGACACACGTGAGGAGATACACGTACTCTTTGCATGAAGGCCACTATCTGACCAGATCAACATGAACATGCTCAAAACGAAAGTCCAGAGCAGAACAACACCGATTGGGCTTTCATGTCTATACACATTGGCGCGCTGGCAACCTAAACATGCGCTAGCGCAACTGCGGACATGGCGGCTGGCATTGGGCCAAACAAAGCATTCGAACACGAGCTTCTGGGAAACATGTATGCTTGGATGAGAAAAACTTTATAGTGTATTGAAAACGAGTCGGCGCATTGTCTCAGGAACGATGTGGCGGAGAGATGTTTGTGAGACATTTGGAAGAATAGTCCCATAGTTTCATAGGTGTTGAATCGAAGTTGTCTATGTCGGGATCAACTTGTGAAGCTGTAACCATGGCGGTAAGATCAAGTTCGGTTCCAAGTGCTGAGCCGGTCTGGTGAATTCGCGAAAGAACGTCTGCGACAGGGTTGAGAGCGCTTGGGGTCTGCCGTACGTCTGTCCTGAACTGAGAGTAGTCTAGATGTATAATTTCTCACCATTGACTACGTAGATAAGTGGTATGTGATCAGTAAAAATTGAAATGTCGAATTCCGGATCCCTTGGTAGATTGGGAGTAGTTCCTTGTCAAAGGTGCTGTAACGTAATTAGGCAGGCTGCAAACCTTTGGATACGAAACCAAGAGGTATCCATCGCTGCTTGATAAGTTGTTGGTGAACTGCGCCAACGGCGGTGCAGTTGCGTCTGGGTGGGTGAAAGGAGCTATTTTTGAGATACCTTTGCAATTCTCAAATTCCGGATAAGCGTCGTCTGGAAAGTTGCACATGCGTCGTGTGCCGCGGTGCAAGTCGGTTGCGTTATGCTCGCGCAGTTAGGTATTAAACGTCGATAGTAGTCGACCAGGCCACAGATTCGGCGGAGCTGTTTGAATGAGGTAGGAGCAGAGTAGTCTGTAGCGATGAGTGGCCGGCCCACGTTAACAGACTATTGGTGAGTACCGTTCCCAGTGATGGAAAAGAGAAGGCACGGAATTGGCGGGACGAAGGTGTATTGTGGTACACGCTGTTCCCGTGTATTAGCCAAAAATACAACACCGAAAGACGCAGCTTGCTAGGGACGGATGTGGGGGATCGCGCGATTTAGCTGCGTGTTTATTCCAACCGTGGTGCCGTGTGTGTGTTTCGCGTGTGTGTTGGGTCAGACATATAAATGCAACATACATATCAACATTCTGAAAACAAACTCTAAGTGTACAATAAGAAGGTACTTTTACACAACATACTCAGGCAATCCGGGGGAATCTCCAGACTGCTACACAGCTTTCACCCAGAAGGAACTTTGGAAACAGTCCTACGATCTACTTGAGGACTATCCGTCGCGGGCCAGCCTTCTGCGAGACCAGGTGGTGAAATCTGATGCAGCTACTGGTGTAGAACCAGGCGATAGGTTCCTAGCGGGCTCCCACCCGTGTCCTCCCTAACGGTGTCGAAACGGGAAAATTGTCTTAAAAATGGTTCGTAAGTGGTAGCAGTTTGACAGGAAATGTTCAGTATATAAGTTGAGGCGTCCGGCTCCAACGTGAACCTGTCACTTTCGTTACATTGGTGATCCCGACAAGAATCATCGCTACAAATCTTTTAGTGCCCGAATTTTGTCTGATAGAGTTGCAATACCAGCATAGGATAACGTGTGGCCAAGGGATTTAATGATATGTTGGCCAGTTTCACATTTGTCGGGGTTGACGGTAATCCCAGTTTGCGTCAATCATTGGAATATAGCGTCACGTTGACGAAGAAATCCATCCTCAAAGAAGCTGACAATGAGAATGTCATTTAAGTGTGGATAAATGCCTTCGATTCCACGTGTTAGCTTTTGAATGAGACGCGGAAACGTTTCTACTGCGATACTAAGACCGAAAGGCATTCTGAGGTATTCGATAACATTAAGCGGTGTAATGACTGCAATTTTAGGTATATCTTCTGTCGCCACAGATATGTGCTACTAGCTGTACACTAAGTCCTTTTTGTTGGATATTAAATTACTAGCCACAACTGGGGTTAACTCATGCATGTGAAAGATGGCGTATTTTTCTGGGACGGTAGCTTTGTTGAGTGCCCTGTAGTCACCACAGGGACGCTAATCATCGGATCTCTTCGGTGCCATGTGCCACGGCCACATTGGCGCTGAGCTGTGTCAGAGAATCGACCAGATCACCCTTTTTAGCACCAACTATAAGATCAAAATGTTGAAAAATGTCGACGCGCATGATAGTGAAAGCTACGACTGATACTATGTAAACCCAGCGAAAGGTTCCTTGCTTCTCGCAGAAACTTGCAACTGGTGTGTCATTATGGGTACGTAGTCTGATCGGTGAGGATGAGACCACCTCATCTTAGCAATGAGGTATAACGCTAACTTCGGCTCCATTGTCCACTAGGAACTCAACGCAGGAAATCAAATCCCTAACGCGGATCAGGTGACTGTTGTCGGCCGGTCGTACTTGTGGCCATTGCCGGGTGGCCAAGAAGTTTCCCCGCTTCTCGGCGAAGTTGCAAGGCTTGAAACATTTACGAGCTGTGTTGCCAAAACGCTGGTGATACCAACACTAAGCTTGTCAGTTGATGCAATTGGAGCGTTCTGAAACCAATTTTGCACGACTGCGACGGCGCTTCAAAGTGAGTTCTTGAAGCTGGCGACTAAGTGTCGCGCCCCCAGGACTTTTATCCTTTACTGCAAACAGGTAATAGAAGTGCCCCAAGACGCAACGGTGTTGACCTTGCTGGTGCCGGCTTGCTGCTCAGATCGTTTTAAATCAGCTTGGTAGTTAGGTGGGAAATACGGAGCTCACGACCGCAATAATCGTTCGCGTTTTCTGCTGGCTTTTGTAGCCAGAACTCGCAAGGCAGCGTCTCGTCGATGGTCGATGAGCTAAACATCTGTTGAGAGCAGATCTCTGCGGATCCCTGGAAAGCGCTGCAGGCATACTTTCTCAGAGGGCATAACGCGCTTAGTGGTGGCCTTCTTTAGTGCCTTCTATCGGTTTCCTGGCTGAGGAAAGTTGATGTCACAAACGTGTGTGGATATCTCATTGGGGAGATAAGACCATCATCATCAATGCACATTGGCTGAAGGCGAGAAACCCACTGCAACCATTGTGCCGGATTACATAAAGGTAAGACTTACGAAAAAGAGCAAGATACTGGATATTATAGAATGCGAAAAATCAATGCACAATAGTAACATATGCGTCAAGAGAGAGATCGTGCTTGGAGGGGGAAGATAAGTGGGAGAGGGAATTGACAAAGTAACTCATAACCCATATGCCATTGAGTTGGGCTCTTTGCTACGTCAACAAGTGTATCCAACCAGATTGTTCATCGCCCTTCGGCCCGTAGCCTAAACTAGCTTGTCTTGTAAACTGACAACTTGGATTCGAGCCTGCGTAGGGGAAGGGCGACCTTCGCCGTATCCTTAGCCGACTTGCAACTTTTGGTAGTTGCGGCAACGAAGCATCGCAACGAAACTGGACCTTAACGTAGTGCGACCGTTTGCGTACCTCATTGACCCATTGAGCTATACTGGGTGATGCGTCTTAGCCCCTTGGGAGCTACTCCTACTAGGTTGGTCAATGGTTAGTCAAACAAACTCGCTCTCCTGGTCCTTCCGTTTGTGCTTTCGAAATGGGATGGCGTTTATCACTGTAAAACTAAATAATTGTCACCTCCCCGATGCCTTGCGGACAGGCTCTTGAGCAAAAGCCTTTTGTTAAGGACCCCAGTCGTCTCCCTCTCTAGGTTTGGGCGCCCGGGCAGTATTTCAGCCCACATATAACCATGACTTTTTCTTCAAACTCCGGTTACATTCTCATCGGCTGTCGCGCAGCTTATCAAAGGTCGCCTTATCTGCTGCATACATCAGGTGGGATGAGCGAAAACTTGCTGCTGCAGGCACATCCTTTACCACCTATTTCTCTTATTCCCATCCCGATCCCCATTACTATGATTCCGAGCTTAATTGACAGCAACCGGACTGCCTCTGGAGTGGAACCATCTGCAGTCACTTTCCTGCAACACCCACTGGACGTCTGTCGGCGACAGTCCCTTATAAGGCCACGCTGTCCCATTTCCTTGGCGGCGTTCAACGTTCACACAAACAAATCGGTCAAAAGCCTGCACTCGCACGCACGTTAGACACACTGAGTATTGACCTGTGTTGTGTGTCCGAATCTAGGATCAATGACTCTCAATGTGTTGTTGCATTAACTGCGCCCGGCTCGTCCTCTCTCTGTTAGTTGCACGCATCCATAGACGCTGATGCAACACTCACTGGTCAAGCTGGGGTAAGTATCATTCTTAGCTCCAAGGCTGAGTCATTTTTGGTTGATTGGATTCCGATGAATAGCCGTTTGCGTGCGGCCCGTTTGACGACATTATCTAAGGTTGATTCACGAAGTATTACAAGACGTTGTTTGTTTGTGATTTCCGCTTATGCTCCCACCGACTGCAGTTCTGATGCTACTAAGAACACATTCTATCACGAACTGAACACGCTACTGCGCAATGCTACTAGTTCAGATATTATAGTACTTGCTGGGGATACGAACGCACAAGTAGGACGTCTGAGCTCCTCTGAAGCTTAGCTAGGTGGTAATTATGGGCTTGACTCCGAACGGACTGATACCAGAAAGCGTCTGTTGCAACTATGCGGAGCACCAGTTGTTTCTCAGTGACATTGTTTTAGACACATTGGGCGCCGAAGTGCCACTTGACGTCCTCCTGCAGCTGGCCAGCGATGAACCCAAATTGACCACAATGCCATAAGTTACAGGTGGCGTGGTTCCATCCTGGATTTCCACTCGTTCTGAAGTACTTGCGTCGATTCTGACCATGTCTTTTTCGCAAAATTGTCTCAGTTCTCTGTCAGGCAATCCTATCAAGACGCACTGCATACGGAACATTCGCTCTTTTGTTCTAATGACACTGACCATGTCGGTTGGTCGTGGGATGCGACAAGCTAAAGCACCCTAAGTTTTATGTATCCAGATGGGTACATTTTCAGCACTTTAGGTTCGGGTGATGTCAGGACAACTGACGCTGCTGAAAATTGGTGGAACTATTTCGAACGTCACACGAATCATTGCTGAACGATAAAGGCGAGGTGAAGTTGTTTTTAGGCAGTCGATGGTGACAGTTTCGCGTCGACCACCTCGTTAACTATGATAGGTTCGGTGTTCGGCCATTGCAGAGGCTATCACACGCCGTCTACGCGAAGCAGTACCAGTGAGCATGTTGGGAAGGTCAGTACATAGTAGTGCTATTTTATCCTAAGTAACATTTGCATAGCTCTTCTATTCCATTGGCAGTCTTTTTGACTTAGGTGAATTTAAGCGGTAGGTTTGATACATGCACTTAATTTTCTTTGTAGGACCTGTCACCACCATGCGCGCGAGCTGTACTCTCAAGTCTACATGGAAATCAATAAGAAAACACAGGTGTGTCTTCGGCTTTACGTGTCCACATTTAACGTTTCTGAAACCACTTTTGTAATCACTTATCCTAGTGGAATACCGCCTTTTCGCTGGTGCTGCCTTGGCTTCATACGATGCCTGTTGGTGACCTTGCTCCTCAACGTGTGCTCTATCCGAAGACGCATATCGATTTCGGTTCGGTTAAGTCTGAAAACCAATATGAAATGCTATTTGACTAAAGCTGATTATGCTACTATTGACGAGCCTGGCCGTACCGTATCAAAGGTACAGTCGACTTTACAGGCGTATACTGTTGCATGAAAGTAGTATAACATCAGTGCAGTTAGTTCCGATTTGTTCGGAAATCATCCTGAGCCTACTGATTTGACTCCTTCGCCCAAAAATTTGCGACTTAACCTTATGCTGCGTAATTCGCGACTTTTTTCTTCGTACATTTCGATTATTGAAAGCCTCATTAGCAGTATGTTTCTCTACGGCGTTCTCCCTAACCTACTAACATAGTAAATGAACTTCCCTTATGATTGACCTTAAGGTGATACAACTGTTCGCGTACATCTGTGACCCACTGAACTACTCTAGGTGGCAATTTTCAGGTGCCTTCAGGGTCCATCATACGAGACAGGTCAATAATTAGGAGTCAGGCTACCTCACTCTGACAATTCTTTTCCGAGGTCGAAAATATGTGAGTGTTGCAGATCTCATACAAGTCCAGTTGGGTCTCTGCAATCACAGTCCCCGGTTAGACTTGTTCCCAACTGCTATCCGGGTCAGACTATTAGTCAAAGGCAGCGTCACTCCTCTCCTGTCAACAAGCCCATGTCCAATCGAGCGGTCCATTCCAGTTCATCAGCTTACATTTGTAACCCTCGATCCTTCTTCAGGTTGGCATGCCTCAATGTACGCACATTACTACAGATCGGTCAACAGGCAGCACTTACCCGAACATTGGAGACCCTCTCGATCGATATCTGCTGCTTATCAGAAACCCGCCTGCAAGACTCGAGCTCTGTGCTCACTCTGCGATCCCCTTCAGGTGACGCAAACAGTATTTTCTCATTGCGCCTATCTGGTGACGATGCAGTTTCGAGCACCGGCCAAGCTAGTGTTGGCATTGCCCTGAGTCCCCGGGCTGAAGCCGCTCTGGTTGATTGGATTCCAATCAGTAGCCGGATGTGTGCGGTCCGATTGGCTGGCTTGTTCAAAGCCTCGAAGTCGCGCGGGACTAATAGGTGTCTATTCATCATCGCTGCCTACGCACCCACAAACTGTAGCGATGATTCGGTAAAGAACGACTTCTACCGCCAACTGACCCAGCTCCTTCGCCACAGAAGAAGCACGGACACTGTTGTGCTGGCGGGGGATATGAACGCACAAATTGGAAAGTTGTCCACTGATGAAATGCATCTGGGCGATCAGCACGGTGTAGGCTCCCGTAATGATAACGGTGAGCGGTTATTTCATTTGTGTGAAGATGCTCGCTTATTTCTTGCGAGCACTAATTTCCGACACAGCACCCGCTGGAGGGTGACTTGGCGCCCACCAGCCTTGGACGCAGTTCGACCACATTGCGATAAGTTACCGATGGAGAGGCTGCGTCCAGAACTGTCGCTCGATTTGGAGCACATGTGTGGACACCGACCATGCAATTTATGTGCTGACATGCGGATGCGTTTTGGCGGACGCCCACGACGACGCTGTGAGCTCATTCATCATCATTATCATACACGTTAGCTAGAGGTGGGGAACACCTCAGCTACTGTGCCGCAATACAAAGAAAAAAAGGAGAAAAAATGCAAATGGTGCAAGCTGGCTGAGCTATCGGTAACGGATGGGCATCGTTCCGGTAAGCTACCAGCCGGCTGCTGTGCACCAAAAAATTACTATGCAAAATTATATAAGGCTAAATAATGAGATCGTGGTTGAAGAGGGAGGCTAAGAGGGATGGGGTGAGTCAAAGAAACTCACAGCACGAACGCCACTGAGGTCGGCTCCTAGCCATATCAGCAAGTGTGTGTGTGAGCGCATTGACACCAGCCAACTGACAAAGACAACTGTTCTGAATGCGTATCGAAGTACGCTGACATGCGAGTTGAGTAATCGCTCAGTGGAGACAATTGATGGTCACTGGTCACATGTTCACCAGACCTTACTAACAGCAGGCAAATCCTCATGTGGTATGTCTAATCACCAACATGGACATGGGGTCTCTTCACAGTCTCTAGAACTTATGGATGCTCGTCGGAAAGTGCTCCGGGCAAGACTTCGTGCTAGCCTGAAGAGAGACCGCGAATCTTGGTGGTCTTATCGTGCGTCAGAGATGGAAGTGGCCGCTGCCCTTGGCAACCATTCCGTCTGATACGGGAAACGGGCAACAGGAGACCTGGTGTTAGTGAAACTATACGTGAGGAGGGTGGACAGCCTATCCACAATTTGTCAAAACGCTTGGAGCGTTGGGCCGAGTATTCCGAAAAGCAATTTAATCGGCTAGAATTGTTCGATTCTCCGCCGGCCAGTGATCGCCCTGCTCCGTGGGCTGTCCCTTTGGATCTACCCTCTCGCTCAGAAGTCGAACGTGAGATCGGACTGTTGAAGTTGAACAAAGCCGCGGGACCAGATGATCTTCCTCCAGCTCTCTTCAAATTCGGAGGCTCTGGTCTTGTTGATGCTTTACATGAATTACTAGTGAAACTGTGGGAGCAGTAGACTGTCCCAACCGATTGGAGCCGATCTATTATTGTTAACATTTTCAAAGGAGGCACGCGTTCGGAATGCGGCAGCCATGGAGGAATCAGTCTGATCTCCATCGCCTCCATAATTCTTCACAGACTGACTAGCGCTCGTGAAAGCCAGATTCGTGAGGAGCAAGCCGGGTTTCGTCGGGGTTGTGGCTGCATCGACCACATCTTCACCTTGCGTCAGTTGTTGGAGCACCGTCGCACATAGTGGCGGCCCACCGTAGTCGTATTCCTCGATATCAAAGGTGCTTTCGATTCGGTTAATCGATGTGCCCTTTGGAATTGTCTACTCAGGAAAGATGTGCACGAGAAATATGTTAATATTATCCAAGCATTATACGCGCGTAGCACGGACAGAGTGAGGGCTTACGACAACCTGTCATCGCCCTTTACTATCTCCAGCGGTGTGAGACAAGGATGCCTGCTGTCACCTTTGCTTTTCAACTTCGCTATTGACGAAGTCATGGAGATTGCATTTACAGGACATGACTTGGAAGGTATGGAGCTACTCCCAGGAGAACGACTTTTCGACTTGGAGTATGCAGACGACATTGCCCTCATCTGTGACAGCTCCCAGACGTGCCAAGCCGCGCTGGACAGAGTAGCACTGGCTGTCAGCTGCTTCGGGCTTTGCTATGCACCATCGAAATGCAAAGCGTTCCTCCAAGATTGGCAGGGATCGCCTCCTGCGCTGACCCTTGGTGGGGATCAGCAAGAAGTCGTACGAAAATTCAACTACCTGGGAAGTTGTATCAGCGCCCTTGGGATCGAAGACGAGATTACGAACCGTATAGCAAAAGCTCGAAGTGCTTTTGCTAACCTTCGCCACCTATGGCGGCGGCACGACATTACTCTCGCCCTGAAGGGTAGAGTGTACAATGCAGCGGTACGTTCGACCTTACTGTACGGTTGCGAAACCTGGCCCCCAAGTTCGGCGGACCTGAAGAGGCTAGTTACGTTCGATCACTGGTGCCTTCGCAGTTTGGCTCACATCTGGTGGGAACACCGCGTGAGTAACGAGCATGTTCGACGCCTTGTTTACGGCACAGGAAAAGGAACTGAACCGCTCAGCACCGTTATTTCCCGCACCAGGCTCCGATGGCTGGGCCACTTGTTGCGCATGTCAGCTCATCGACTGCCACGACGTGCGTTGTTTGCTCGCCGGGGATGTGGATGGAAGAAGAGGAGGGGTGGCCAAGCGATGCTTTGGTCAAGAGGAATGAAGGCCCTCACTTCTGTGCTGGCCTCGGTTGGAGCGTCACGGCTCCATGTTTGGGGTCCAAAAGACGGTGAACACGTTTGGCTGGATACACTTGCTGACATGGCAAGGAGCCGACCTCAGTGGCGTTCGTGCTGTGAGTTTCTTTGTCCCACCTCGTACCTTTTAGCCTCCCCCTCCACCTACGATCTAATTTCTTAGCGTAAAACAATGATTTTTTTCTCTCTAGTAGCCGGCTGGTAGCTTACCGGAACGATGCCTATCCGTTGCTGGTAGCTCAGCTGGCATGCAAATTTTGTATTTATTTTCCTTTTTCATTTATGTATTGCGGCACAGTAGCTGAGGTGTTTCCCACCTTTAGCTGACGTGTATAATGATGATGATGAGGAGGAGGCAAAGCACTTTCGACAAAACCCTTCCTTCGGATTGAGAAACCTTAGCCAACATTATTTGTTCTTGCTGACGGTTTACTTCTCAGTTTTAACGGGTTAATGAATTGGTCCCCCAATGTCCGAACTCTGTGTGTGTATGTGGGGGGGGGGGGATTTCCATGCTGTGTACTGCAACCATTATTGCGACCATGTGAAACTATCTGACCGGAGGGAAGAGACTGTCTCTATTAGCCTCTCTGCCCATCGAAGTGGCTAAACAGTAAGATGTGTCCTCTAAACTCCAAGTTATACGATTAGTTCTGTTAACTTTGTTCAGATCACCAGTATGCTTGTGTTCCTTGATTTCACTAACATATCCGTTTCAATCGACCTCTCCTTTCTTGTCGGACACTTCCTACAGCAATTAAAATCCACTGATGCTGTTCAATCTTCCCGTCTATCCGGTTTCCTTGTACAGCGGCATCTTAGCTGTTGAGTCGCCTCGGATTTGCAGCTCAAAACCCAACGCAATTGCGCAAACCCCCGATCGTAGACGAGAACACCAAGACGAGCTGATGCAATGCAGAATCATCTCATGGAAACTACGGTGGTACATATAGTGTGAAGCAAAGCTACTAAACACAGTGGAGCCAATGAACCATACCGGAGATACTAATT